GGGGAATTTTGGTGAAACGTCTTTGACCTTTTCACACAAAAGGTCAAAAGTTATATTTATTTTATTCCAATATTATTCTTCTTACGAAATCTCAATTTTGTCACACCAATATACTGTATCAAGATTAAATTAAGTACAACCAAAAATTCTTTTTATTTGTTTTTTTATTGAGGAAAAATGTAGACCAATTGACTGGCAATTAAGAGTTGGGGCAACGCCTACTCTTTACTATTTAGTCCATTTTTTAAGGTTTGAACTCAAACAATCACTGTGTTGTATTAATTATATTTGAAGACACGTGATGCGAAAAAGTGCATGCAAGCTGTTCGACGAATTGCCCCACCAGAATTTAGTTACGTATGTAGAATCGTGCACGGTGTTAAGTCGGTGGTACGCGAAGAACGAGAGGTTGGATCGGAGGAGGCGAAAGCTTGTCCAACGAAGCTTCAACTAAAAGCGTGTTGCTCGATCTGTAACGCTATATAAATTAGTTCGATAGATATGGTGAAGCAATGCACATTCACAATTCATATATCATATGGTTTGTGTTTTTTATTTATTTGTTTATTTATTGATCAATTAAGTCATATGATTTGTTAAACTGTTAATGCACATGGCCATGAGATTTCAGCTTGAAGAGATGCATGTGCATGCACGTAATGAAATAAGTGTCGAATCCACGAGGAATACGTAAACTATATACTATTTTCCCAAGTATCAAATTCGTCACGTACAATACAATCCTTGTTCGGTAAACATAAGTTCATTATCCAATTTAATTTATTTCGATGTAAATACGGATCTATGATTTTATTTTCTCCCGTGCGTTGATTCTTCACCAAATCTCCTTAATTTATACATGCTATGAATCTTGATTTTATTACCTTTTTTTTTATGATTATAACTCGAATCTTAATCACGTCTTCAAATTTCGGGACGTGACAAAATCCATACTCATGTATCCCATCAAAGTCCTAGAATAAAATTTAGGTAATAATGGAATTTTGAAATTATAAAAAATATTAATTAAAAAAAAATTGAAATATAGCTACTTAATAGCTAAATGTATATAACCGATTTTCTTTTTCTTCTTTTTATTTTTCGAACAATCACACATGTACATGTATGATGCATGATGCATCTAAGTTACATGATCTGATAAAAAAATGCACGCAATTTGTTTTGACGAGTTGCCCCACAAGAATGTGGTACGTAACATTCATCGAACTGCATGATTTTATGTGTACGTTAAGAATGCGATATCGATGATTCACGAGGTTTGTGAAGTCTTTGATTCAATGCCTAGCTATTAAGAATGCAGTTCCAATATGTGATGTGAAAATTAAATGCACGCACACAATTTGTTTGACGCATGCAAACTGCACGAATTTTACGTCAAGAATTCGATGGATTTTAAGGCTCGTCGAGTCTCTCATTTAGGGAAGAGATTTAAAAATTGAAATATCAAGTCCCTCTCTAAATCTTAATTCTAACACGTATAAGGATTTTACAACTTTTTTAAGGGGCTTTTCCAAACTTTTGTGCAAGACTAAATGAAAGAGACAAAATAATATATTTGATCGATTTTAGCTAGCTACAATTTTATCATAAATATAAATTGGGGGAGTGGTTCAGGGGTGTAATTAGATGCTATACCTGATTACATTTACTGGGTATATTAATTCAACCGTAGATTTACACAATTACACACCCATGTGTATGTTTGTTTAGTGTGTGCTGACATCTAATTCCCCGTTGAGGAGTTTCATAAAGTCTCGAGTAGTTGAAAAGTTCAACACAAAGATTTCTTCTCGGCGTTTTCTTGATTCAATTATGCTAAATTATCATACATAAAGATTTCTTCTTGGCATGTGAAGTTGTAAAATAAATAAATTTTGTAGATGCATGCTACACTCTGGGAAATAGATCATTTAGTTTCAAATCGCTGATCTACATATATAAATAGTCAACCAATGCATGAAACGTAGGCTATATTCATGAATCAAAATCAATACATCATTTAATTTAACATCGTTGATCTACATATATAGCCAACCAATGCATGAAACGTAAGCTATATTCATATATCAGACTCAATACATCATTTAATTAACATCGTTGATCTACATATATAGCCAACCAATGCATGAAACGTAAGCTATATTCATGTATCAAAATCAATACATCATTTAATTAACATGGTTGATCTACATAATTAGCCAACCAATGCATGAAACGTAGGCTATATTCATGTATCAAAATCAATGCATGCATCATTATAATTCCTAATTGCTATTTAACGAGCCCATTTCGAAATTAATTCTCGAGTAGGGTTTAACATTTTTCCATCAAAATTTTAATCTTTAATAATTGTCAACAAATTAGATTAATTACTAAGTATGAGAAAATCTACAAGCAAAATATAAATGGAAAAATTAAAAATCAAACTGAAAAAAAAAGGAAGAGGAAGAATTGAGAGAATTCAGTTTGTGCAGCTAGGGCACAAATGAAAGCTTATAATTAACAAAATGTATTCCTCTTCTCCACCTAAAACGATTAAGTATTCATCATTAACTCTAATCATCATTAATTAGAACAAAACCATCTTCCAATCAATTCCTCTAATAAAAAAACAAAAGAGGGAAATTAATGAAGAAACAAATGACGATTTAATTTATTACCCAGCTAATCAATCAATCAATTAATTAATTAATTAAAATCCTTCCTCCAATCACACAATTAGACAGCAGCGTACGTCAATGGAGTCTCGGAATCCGTTGAGGAGGCGAAGGAGGTGTCTTGAATCGAATCGTGTTGGTGGTGGTGGCCGTGGCCGCCGCCGCCGTCGTTCTGTGCGGCGAAAGGGGGAATATTCCTGGGGGTTAGGGCGGTGGGGATCTGGCGGTCGCGGCAGCGGCAGCGGCGGAAGCAGGTTTTGATGCAGACGTAGAAACAGGTGAGGATCCAGAAGATCCAGGTGGAGCCGATGAGGACGAAGGCAGCGATTGGCTGCCACGGCTGAGATAAGTCGGGGAAATAGAGGTTGATGACGAGGAGTACGCCGCCGATCGAAACGCAGAGGCAGAAGAGGGTGAATATTAATGGAACTATCAGAGATTTTTCCCTTTCATATTGTTCCATCGATTTCTGTGCGGCCGGCCCCCCCTTCCCGCCCCCCCTTCTCTCTCTCTCCTCCCGCCTATCAACGAGGTTCTGCTTTCTCTCTCTCTCTCTCTCTCTCTCTCTCTCTCTCTATACGTATATATTTATGTATGTATGTATAGATGAATTAGTCGTTTGTTTATTTTCTTTTAACGAATTCATGAATTGCTCTCTCTCTACTTTCTCTCACTAGAATTCGAGAATGGATAATTGCAGATTTAAAAATGAAAGGCGTTGAAAGAGGGGATGGTAGTTTGTACATTATTTTTTATTTTTTATTTTTATATATTAAATTTATTTATCATAAATTAACACATATGATATATACGCATGTTAGATTAATTGTAATTACTCTTTACACCTTAAGTTTTAAGAATATAATAAACCTTCCTTAAAACTTGGTTTACGTTAAAACTTCAATCCAAATTCCAAAGTAACAAATAATATATTTACATTTACCCTTATTAGTATAAATTACACCGGAACCATCTAATTTACGTCTAGCTATTTTTAGAACCGTTCGAAGGAATTAAAGTTTGATTTATTTTTAAAATTTTTAAGTAGATGAGAAAGAACGACGATTGTTCAACTATGTTAATCGAAATATAAAAAAAACCCTCTTTCGATATACTTTCTTCTTATGAATATTTTTATAGACAATATTTTGATGAATATTACATTGTGAAATTAAGTTGGAATTTTTTCTAAGTTAATTGAAAAACTTTTAGGGATATTTTTGTAATGTTTTCTAAATATGAAGAGTTATATATGTAACTATGCATAATATCGAGTGTACAAATAAAATTTGGCTTAATTACACTTTGCACTCGTAAAATGCACCATTTGACACTTTACACCCCCGAAAATAATAAATGGTACTTTGCACCCTCAAAACATGTTTGATCGTTCAAAGTGCACCCTAGTATATTTTTCGGCCATAATTTTCCGTTATTAACTTAATTTTTGATCGTCAACATGGTCATTTTTGTCTATTCAATTGATTTTTTCTTCAGGTTGCAAAGCGCTAATGTATTTTCGAGCAAAAATGATCTGTTGACAATCAGAAAATGGTTAACAATGGAAATTCAAGACGGAAAATAAAATAGGGTGCAATTTGAACGATTAAACATATTTTGAGGATGCAAAGTAACAAAATGGTACATTTCAAGGGTGCAAAGTGAAATTAAACCATAAAATTTCTAATAAGTTTTTTTTTTAATATAATATAATTGGGCTGAATTAGTATAGGCCCAATAAAGCCAGACAGAGTGAACAGATTCTGATTTAACTGGGCCGGTTTTTTAACCCGACCCGATTAAATATCCATTTTAGGTTTCGAAAATCTTCTTAAAAAAACTAAATTGTTAAATTGAAAAAGAAAAGCATATAAAACCCTAATGCGTAAAACCCTTTTCCCCAATTTCCCCTGCGCAAGAGTATAGCCAGCAAAACCTTCTGACGGTAAGAAATTCTTTCCTTGATCAGCTTCGATTATTTGTAAACTCATCCCTGGTACCATTTTTCAATTTTCAATTCGGCACCCATTTTTTTTTTCTAACAAATTACACCGTTTTAGCAATTTTATTGTTGAATTACGGTACTGATTTTGCTTCGCCATGTGTGGATTTGTGTACCGATTTAGGGTTGATGATGCGCATGTGTAGTGTAGTGTTAGTGTTGTGAGTTGAATATTCAAATAATTTACTTTTGATTTTTTTTTTGTATTATCATAAAGTAAAAATGTAAACTTGTATTTTTTATTTTAGGGTATTTTTTTTTTGAAATGCAATTTGGTGTTTAGGAAAATGGTATTGGGTAGTTAATGCAGTTCCGTTTTGGTATTCTTTACAGGTTAAGTTCTTGCTTATTGGGTAAACGATGGCCGAATTTTACTTCGATGAGATAATCAAGGTCCTTAAATTCGACAGCCTAGTAGTGTACGATAAAGGTAAAATAGAGAACAATAAAGATATTTTTTTTTGTTATGCCCTTTTAATGATTCCTGGCAAACCATTCTTCCAAGTTTTCGAATCTTTGTATACAATTGTTTTGTTGGAGGGAGATTTTTTGTTCACGAAAAACAAGTCGAAGTAGTGCTTGAAAACATAATTTGTGTATGGTATTTTCAGTTTCGAGAATCAATGCCAATAGTGAAGATGATGACTTTTATTTGGAATTGGATGTGCACGCTGAGATATATCAAATGCTCCCCGGTGAGAAGTATAGGATGGTTATTTCGAACACTCTGCATAAGGATGGTTCGACAGTAAGTAACCACTTTTCCGAGGTGCAGTCCTTTGTCACTCCGATTTTTTTTTTTCTTTTTTTTTTAATTACATGCCTGAATTTATAAATAAATGCAGTCGGCAGATTTGATTATGCTAAAAGAGCAGCATATATAAAATTTCTTCAATGTATTATGTTTTTTCGACCTTTTGGGTTCATTTAAAAATGCATCAAGTGGTACTAAAGTTATCCTGTTACCGTTTTTAATTAATTTTCTGGAAGGTCAAGCTTACCTTCAATGCAATAGTATGTTTGGTAGAAATTTAGGAAAATTGTTGCTTTTCGAGTTAATGCTATGGTGTGCACGAGTGTCTACACCTATACTCACGGGCCTACATGCTAAAGTTATGCGTACTATTTATTCTAAAGCCTTGTTTGGGAGAGTTGATGGGGTGGGTAAGATTGATTGAACTGGCTAGGAATTAGGATTGATAATGTTATATGTGAATATCGTTTTGGTTTTAGTGTGTAATACTTGGAGTTGAGTTTGGAGTAACTATCCTTCATATTGTCTACTAGGCCTAATCCTGATTCCCAAACATATGACATAGCTTGATTATATTGTCTATCAAACCTAATCCTAATTCCAAACAAGGTCTTATTCGCATATATGATCATTGTCCTCTAATTGCAGGGAAAACAAGCATCACTTGCAGACAAATTTGAGTACGTGATGCATGGTCTTCTGTATAAGATGGCTGAAGCTAAAGATGCAAAAGACGATGTTAAAGTGTACGTAAATGCTCCTTCGTGCATTAATTAAAAAAAATTCTTTTCTTTTTGTGATTAATTTTTTATTGGACGAAACGTATAATTCGATTTTTTTCAATTTGTCACAGGGTGGTGTATGTTTCATTTGGAGGGCTTCAGCTAATGCTAAAAGGCGATCCTTTGAAGATGCACAAGTTTAAAGTCGATCAAAGGTTGTTTCTTCTCTTGAGGAAGATGTGATGCTAACTTTTTAAACCTCTCGTATTTTATGCTGTTTAATTGAGTTTTTCGAATGGTAGTTGTGGTTTAATTGTACTAGAATGTGGAGAATTTGCACCGTTTAACCTTGATAAAATTCGTGTCTACGTATTTACATTTATATATGTGCGACTGCGTGTAAATTAAAGATTATTTTGATCTATGATGAATAGGGAATTTATAATCCAATGGGGATCGCAATCCAGCCTGGATTGGATTGGTTTCTTTCTTCGTTAAATGTGTTCTACAAGCACTGCAATCGTAACGGCATAAACTGCCCGGATAATTAGCAGTTTCCAACGATTGCTTGCACGTAAATAAAAGTGTTTTCTTGAACAAAGGCAAGAGGAAAAAGAGGGAAACACACAACTATTTTGTTCCCTAGAAAGAGACTGAATTTGATACCTGCAAAACTATATATTATATTTTTTCTCTAAATGAAATAATTCCTAGAGAATTAGAAAAGTAACTCTTCAAACAATTCAGAACTTCAAACAATTCAGAAATTATTATGAAGAGAAGTGTGTGTGTGTGTGTGTGTGTGTGTGTGTGTGTGTGTGTGTGTGTGTGTGCTAGAGAGAGAGAGAGAGAGAGAGAGAGAGAGAGAGAGAGAGAGAGAGAGAGAGAGAGAGAGAGAGAGAGAGAGAGAGAGAGAGAGAGAGAGAGAGAGAGAGAGGGGCATGTTCAGCATTTCTCAACCTCTGCAAATATTTTTTTTTTCAATGGAAATAAATAAAAGAAACATGGCTAAATTAGTTCAAAAAATATCTTAATCAAAGGGGTTTATATTTTCTATGATTATTTAATTTCTTGACTTTTAAATATAAATAAGTAAAAGGATACGTGATAGACTGTTATGGCATCCGAATTAAGACGGTGAATGAATCGAATCAAACCGAACGTATCGTGTGTGTTAGAAATTGTGTTTGAGGTTGATTTGATTAACAATCGGTATCCGGGAACGAGTAGGTTGGTTTGATTTTCAGTTCTAAAATTTAGGGATTCTTGGTATAAAAAAATAAATTAAATTAACCATAAATGAATAAGAAATAAACAGAATCCTTCATAACTGCTATTTTCCCCCATCACAGCATTTGTGTGAGCAACCTTTTACTTTCCAATGATTGGTTACAGAATTTGCAAACTTAGGCCAAATATTTATTACAAACATTATTTATTAAAAATATATTGTACATTAGTAGTATCTTAGGTGAAAAAAATTCATCGAAAAATCGAGATTTCTGGATTAAATTTTTTTTTTAAAACGATTAAAAAAAAAGTAGGCCTAAAGTTCCTGGTCACCAGCTTTACATGACTTAATTATACAATTGATTAATTTGATTGATTAATTTAAGATTATTTATTTGTCGATTAAATAGGAAATGAAATAATGTTATTGAAATAATTGATGTGATAGTTGTTGTAGTTGAAGTTAGTTAAGGTGCCCCAAATGCATGGTGATTGGACGGAATCACTGACTGGTTCTTGGGCCCACACCGATTTATTCGATACTACACCCAATCAAATATCTACGATAATTATTAACCGTTGATCAGCACACACACATCAATGGTTAAAAATCACCGGATGTAACATGACCAAACGATTCTGAGCCATAGATCTATATAAATAAAACTAACTACTAACTAAGCACGCATACACATGTGTGTATGTTATTATGTCTAGATCAATGGTTCAAGAGCACTCGATGTGTTTCACTGAGTGTGTGTTATAATTTTTAGATTAATAATTCAAGACAACTCGATGTATTTCATCGAGTCTAACATCTATCAAACCCTCGATACCGGCCCCACCACAACCGATTTAAAGATTGGTTTTTTTTTTCTTTTTACCAAAATCGTGGGAAAAATTCCTTACAACCAACCCCTTTGTGCCCATCAAACAAAAGTACTAGAAAATAAATAAATAAAATAATTTAATTTAATTTTTTTTGTCCAGAAAAGTACAGAAAAAAGAAAAGCATATGTATCAAACTTGATACAATAAAACTGAAAAGAATGGTGAAAGAGAATAATTGATCATTGCAAAATCAGTCTAAAAAGAAGATCATTAACTGGTCCCCCACATTATAACAAAATCTCACACACACACATATATATATATATAAAAGCCCATATATAGATATATACAGTCTTCAGTCCCCTCCTAACCCACACCATAACCTACCAACTCACCATTTTCTTGATTTTTGCTAATTCCTTTTTCCTACTCAAAAAAGTTTTGATCTTGAAACTGCTTATCCATCAAATTTCAGCTTTTTTCAAGAACCAAGAAACAGCAAAAAAGATTAGGGTTTTCAGGGTTAGGTTTTTTTTTTTCTTTTTTTTTTTTTTTAATTATTATTTTGCAGGCCCATATGAATCTCTGCAATTATGATTTCTTGTAGTTACATGCCCCCACTTTTACAGTTTCTTTGTCTTCTTTCTTCCAGGTACAAACACATCTCCACAAAGTACAACAACACACACAAGAAAACAAACATGTATGAACAAAGCAGTGATTTTGATCAAACCATGAATTTACACGAACAAGAAGAAGGAGGTGGATTAATGGGTCAAAACGACGTCGTTAATTACCCAATAATCTCAAATCAAGAAGTTGCCGCCATGGAAATGGAGCTCCACCACCAACTCAACCTCGAAATCGAACACTGCTTCAACAACAACAATGGCGGCCAACAAATCAACAACAGCAACAACGATTCTTCAAACAGCTGGCAATTAGAACAAATGAACGCAGCTTTCAATCTCGAAAATCAAAATCAAGATCCGATTTTTAACACTGCTCAATACCCTACCACAACTGATTTACTCAACATTTTCCCTTTCCCAAAATACCCTTCTCTCCTCTCAAACTCCTCAATCAGTTTTTCAACCCATAATAAAAATTCGAGCAACAACAATTTCTTGGCTTCACTTGGGCTTTTGGGTGAGATAAACCCTAATGTAGGCGGCGACGGAACTTCTGCCTCGGGTAGCGTGATTTACGACCCGTTGTTGCCGTTGAATCTGCCCCCACAGCCCCCTTTGCTGAGGGATTTGTTCCACTCTTTGCCGAATAATTATACGAAGAATGGTGGGTGTAGCTTGTTTGGTAATGTGGATGAGAGGGATAATAATAATAATCATGGAAATGTGGGATTGATGTACCAAAACGATAACGGGGTTTTCGAGTTTACGGCCGCCGGAGAAATCGACTGCGTCGGTAAAAGTCGAGATGGGAAAGATACCAAACACTTTGCCACTGAGAGGCACAGAAGGCTTCTCTTGAATGACAAATTCCAAGCCTTGAGAAAATTGATTCCAAATCCATCCAAGGTATAATAGTACTCCTTTTCTCGTATTATTCGATCGTTTCAAATTATCTGTCGCTTTACAATTTCAATCAAATATTGGTTGCATTTTTTTTTTTGTGTGTATTCTGCCCTTTATTACTGTTAATTAACTGAAAGGTAAATAGCTGAGAATCAATTAATTAGTGATAAGGGTAGTTTAGTAATTTTTATGATCGTATTACTTGTCGTTTCGGAATTTTGTCAATTAATTAGTGATAAGGGTAGTTTAGTAATTTTTATGATCGTATTACCTGTCGTTTCGGAATTTTGTTTTTCACAATTTGGATGAAGTATTAATCACATTTTTATTTTCAATTTTGCCCATTTATCACACTTAATTAATTGGAAGATAATTAGTCCAGAATTATTTAATTAATGATAAAGGGCATTTTAGTAATTTTCTTCAGCTATTTTAATATTATTTGTCATTTCGATTTTTTTTCCTCAAATTATTCGTCACTTTACAATTTTGATGAAGCATTAACTGTATTTTTTCTCTTTCAATTTTGCCATTTATCCTCTTAACTGAAAGGTAATTAGACGATAATCAACTACATAAGGGTGTTTTAGTAATTTTCTATATTTATTGATTTTCTTAATATGTGCGGAGTAATAACAATAATACTACTCCTCTTATGTTATTTCTGACAAAATTTTCAACAAATTGATATTATTTTAATTTCTTTTATTTTTTTGGCATTGAAGGACGATAGAGCTTCGATAGTTGGAGACGCGATCAACTATATAAACGAGCTGAAGAGGTCAGTGGCTGAGTTGAAACTGCTGGTGGAGAAGAAGAGGTGCAGCAGAGAGAGAATGAAGAGGCCCAAGACGGAAAACGAAAACGAATCGAATTCCCTCGGTAATTTGGAAAGTGGTTCGTCGCTAAGGAGCTCTTGGCTGCAACGGAAATCGAAGAACACTGAAGTCGACGTGAGAATCGTGGACGACGAAGTTACGGTGAAGCTCGTGCAGCAAAAGAGAATCAATTGTTTGCTTTTCGTGTCGAAAGTTCTCGATGAACTCCAATTGGATCTTCACCATGTTGCTGGAGGGCTTATTGGGGATTATTACAGCTTCCTATTTAACTCCAAGGTAATAAATAAATTTATATATTTATTTAATTAATTATGAAAAAATAAATTTAATAAATTTATGATTTTGTTGCAGATTTGTGAAGGTTCAATTGTGTATGCAAGTGCAGTGGCAAACAAGCTGATTGAAGTTGTGGATAAACAGTATGCTGCAATTCCACCATCTAGTAGCTATTAGGTTAGTTAATTTAAATTCCCTTTTTTCAATTTATAATTAATTAATTATCTTGGAATTGTTACATATAATATAATTAATGAGTGATTAGATAATATTAAGAGGCTAAATTCTTTGTTTGTTTTAATTTGTCTAAAGAAATTAAGATAATTTGGAGCTTTTTATTAGGGTGGTAGAACCGACATAATTTCGACCTATAAAGTTTAGTCGATAATTAACCATAAACCGACCTATTAATACAGTTGGGACTATCATCTGTTTTTATAAAAATGTTTTTGAGAGAATGTGAATTTTAATTTGGTTAATTTAATATGAATAATTTATTTATCCATTAATATATTTATCTAAAATTTGAAATAAATTTTTAGAAAAAAAAAAAGTGAGTCAAAGTTAGGACAGAGTTTCTTGAAATAGCCATGCAGCAGTGCATGCAGACTTGCCTTCCAACAGAAGTGTTCTCTTTATAATAAAACAGTATTGTCAGTGTGTGTGGCTAACAACAAGTGCAGTTATTTTATTTTGTCTTGATATATTATATATATATTAAATAAATAAATAAAACAATTTATTCCACGTAGTAGTGCGTGAAAAATGTTGAAGATGATCCCATAATCATGCATGTTTAATTCACTTTGATTAGTTGCTGAAAATATATTAATTATTGTTTCTTTATGTTTTGCAGAAAATCTTGGAGGCCCTTCTCTCTAATATAATATATATACATATATATAGAAGGGTAAAATTGTCCGAAGCAATTAGGGTATTATAGTGAAGTTAATTCCAAAGAATTCCATTTATCTTGAAATATGTAATAATAAAATTTATGGACAAGTATAATTAAATGTTGCAGAAACATACTCAAATTTACAATTTCAGGATTTATGGCTTCGGATATTTTGAATTTGTTAAAAAAAGTCCCTCGGGTAGTTTAGTTGGATAAGTTTAGACCAAAAATAGAGAACTTAGACTGAAGATATATCGACATGCTAGCTGAAGAAATTTGGACTGAAAATATATATTTTTGGAAGTAGATTGAGTGAATGAGAATAATGTATTTTCAATCTAAAATATTTATTTTCAATCTAAACTCTCTAATTAAGCTGTCCGATGGACTTTCAGCAAAATGCATTACCAAGAGAAATGTGTGTGATTGTGCAAAATGCACCATCAAGACCTCCTTTGAAACCCTGCTCTCTTAGCAGTTAGAAAATCTCACCTATCGTCAGCATAGAGAAAATAAATTAAACCGACGGAGAAAGTACCAAAATAAGGAAAGAACTTGAAAGAGATCGAGTATATTGTATTATTGATTATATTGTGTAAGAATGTAACGTAACACTAATAGGGTTAAATATATCCGTTTAATTTATACACTTCCGTTATTTATTTAATGAAAATTATCTTGAGATCTTCTCCTTCAACCGTCAATCTCCGAGCTCGTCACCTACCACCTATTAATCTTCCTTTACTACAATCTGACGAATGCCAGTGGGCTTTACGCACGAGTTGTCTGTGGGCGACCTTATTATTATTTGAGTCTTCTTATAGCGAACACTTTGGTTCATCTCGATAATTGCCATTCATTAGGCTTTGGCTTAACAGGCTTAGTTCCTATGGCTCGTTGGGCCTTGACTCAATAATTTTGAATAAATGAGAGTTCGGCCCAATATTGCCGAACTGACTCCATCAATGTGTGTGTGAGAGAGAGAGAGATAGATGTTGACCGAGTCAACAACCACTAGTTGAGAAAGCATGTTCAGCATTGCTCAACCTCTACAAATAAATATTTTCAATGGAAACAATCAAAACGTCTCTTAATATTTTCCAAGTTGAAACAATCTTGATTTAATTTGGTAATTAGATTTAATTTAGTCCTAATTTTACCAAACAATATTCGAATTTTATTTATTTATTTTTGTTTTTTTGGAAATAGAAATATATGAATAAGAAATAAATAAAATAGCATCCTTGATAAAATCTGTTGACCCTATCACAACATTTGTATGAGCAACCTTTTTACTTTCCAATGATTAATTACACATATATATGATGGGTATTTTCAGTTTCTGATTTTCTTTTTTATAACAGAATTTGCACAATTAGGTCAAATATTTATTACAAACATTATTTATTTAAAAAAAATTGAAATTAGTATATGAGGTGGAAATTCGTCGAAAAAATCGAGATTTTTGGATTAAAAAAACAATAAAAACGGTACAAAAATTAGGCGTAGAGTTCCTGGTCACCAGCTTTACATGACTTAATTATACAATTAAATAATTTGATTGATTAATTTAAGATTATTTATTTGTCGATTAAATAAGAAATTAAATAAAATATTGAAATAATTGATGTGATAGTTGTCGTAGTTGAAGTTAGTTAAGTGACCCAAAATGCATGGTGATTGGACGGAATCACTGACTGGTTCCTGGGCCCAGACCAGCTGCAATTTTTTTTTTCTATTTTTTAATAGATAAATTGAAATAAAAAAAGAAAATAAAAAATCGAGTTAACTGGAACATAATTATCATATATAATTTTCAAAATTGAATTAAATTATCTACTCATTTAACTTGACCTTTTCATTTACGATTAAAGGAGAGAGAAAATTTTGAAATTGTTTTGAGAAAATGATTTGAAAAGTGTAATAAATCCTATTTTATTTTGGGAAACAATAAAAACAAAACAAAAATGCATCCAAACATAGCCTTAACGTTGCAGACAGTATTAATTTTAATTTACATATTTAATTTTGTCCAACATATGAAAAGTTAAACTATCTTAAATATTTATTTAATTTATTCATAGCACAATAATAAAGATGTTACTTATTAAGAATTATTAAAAATATTTTAAAATTTATTCTACTAATGTTCTTAATAGTCCAAGAGGTTGACCGATAAATTGAGGGAGAATTTTCAAAATACAATAAGTGTTTAGTAGCTTATTGAATAAAGAGATTGGCAAGGGCAACACTAATGACAATTTACTATATGCTATATCGGGTGCAATACACCAGGTAAATCATTACCACACAAACATACACACACCCACATTAGTGTGTGTAGATCAACGATAGAAAATCACCTGGTGCTGTCATCTGAACAAAATTTAAAACAAATGTTTCAACAAAATTAGTTTGCCATGTTGTAACAAAAACATATATATCCAGACATAAACATGCATATACATATACATTCACATATACATACACATATACACATAACCTACTAACTCACCATTTTCTTGATTTTTGCTAATCCTTTTTCCTACTCAATAAAGTTTTCATCTTTGATACTGCAAAAGGGTTAGGGTTTTCATTTCTTTTATTTATTTATTTGGAGGCCCCTATGAATCTCTGTAATTATGATTTCTTGTAAGTTTATATGCCAACTTTTACAGTTTATTGTTTTCTTTATTTCAGGTACAAACACAGATCCACAAAGTACAACAGACAAAAGAAAAACAAAGATGTATGAACAAAGCAGTAATTTTGATCCAGCCATGAATTTACACGAAGAAGAAAGAGGAATAATTGGTCAAAACGACGTCGTTAATTACCCTCACGAAAACCCTAAAATCGCCGCCATGGAAATGGAGCTCCACCACCAACTCAACCTCGAAATCGAACACTGCTTCAACAATGGCTGCCAACAAATCAACAACTGGCAAGTAGAACAAATGAACGCATCTTTCAATCTTGAAAATCACCATAATCAAAATCAAAATCAAAATCAAGATCCGATTTTTAACACTACTCAATACCCTACCACAACTGATTTACTCAACATTTTCCCTTTCCCAAAATACCCTTCTCTCCTCTCAAACTCCTCAATGAGTTTTTCAACCCATAATAAAAATTCGAGCAACAACAATTTCTTGGCTTCACTTGGGCTTATGGGTGAGATAAACCCTAATGCAGGCGGCGACGGAACTTCCGCCTCGGGGAGCGTGATTTACGACCCGTTATTGCCGTTGAATCTGCCCCCGCAGCCCCCTTCGTTGAGGGATTTGTTCCACTCTTTGCCGAATAATTATGCGAAGAATGGTGGGTGTAGCTTGTTTGGCAATGTGGATGAGAGGGATAATAATAACAATCATGGAAATGTGGGATTGATGTATCAAAATGATAACGGAGTTTTCGAGTTTACGGCCACCGGAGAAATCGACTGCGTCGGCAAAAATCGAGATGGGAAAGATATCAAACACTTTGCCACTGAAAAACACAGAAGGGTTCAGTTCAAAGGCAAATTTGATGACTTGAGGAAATTGGTTCCAAATCCCACCAAGGTATAATATTAATTATAATTATTAATTAATACTCCCTTCTCATTTTATTTGTCGTTTTTTTTTTTTTGAATTATTTGTCATTTTTAATTTCGACGAAGCATTAATTGTGTGATTAGTTGAGGACCAATTAATTAATAGTAAGGGTAGTTTAGTAATATCATATGCTTCTTCCCATATTATTTGGCCTTCGGATTTTTTTTATCTTCAAATTATTTGTCACTTTACAATTTCAATGATATATTAATTGCATTTTCTTTTCAGTTTTGCCCTTTACCATTCTTAATTAATTGAAAGATAATTAGTTCAGAATCAATTAATTAAATGATAAGGGTATTATAGTAATTTCTTATATTTTTGCTTTGATCCATATATTTTGATTGATTTACTTAATATGTGCGAGTAAGAGCGATAATAATATACTCCTCTTTTGTTATTTCCGAAAAAAAATCGATAAAAAATATTATTTTTATTTTTCTGTAATTGAAGAATGATAGAGCTTCGATAGTTCAAGACGCGATCGACTATATAAACGAGCTGAAGAGATCAGTGGCGGAGCTGCAACTGCTTGTGGAGAAGAAGAGGTGCAGTAGAGAGAGAATGAAGAGGCCTAAGATGGAAAACAACGAAAACGAAAACGAATCGAATTCCCTCGGTAATTTGGAGAGCGGTTCGTCGCTAAGGAGCTCTTGGCTGCAACGGAAATCGAAGAACACTGAGGTCGACGTGAGAATCGTGGACGACGAAGTTACGGTGAAGCTCGTGCAGCAAAAGAGAATCAATTGTTTGCTTTACGTGTCGAAAGTTCTTGATGAACTTCAATTGGATCTTCACCATGTTGCTGGAGGGCTTATTGGGGATTATTACAGCTTCCTATTTAACTCCAAGGTAATAATTAAATTTATTTAGTTTATTAATTTAATTAATTATGAAAAATTAAATTAAATTTGTTTATGATTTTTTTTCCCAAGATTTGTGAAGGTTCAATTGTGTATGCAAGTGCAGTGGCAAACAAGCTGATTGAAGTTGTGGATAAACAGTATGCTGCAATTCCACCATCTAGTAGCTATTAGGTTAGTTAATTTAAATTCCCTTTTTTCAATTTATAATTAATTAATTAATTATCTTGGAATTGTTACATATAATATAATTAATTAGACAATATTAAGATGTTAAATTATTTGTTTGTTTACATAGTTTTAGCTATTTTTTGTCTAAAAAATTGAGATAATTTGGAGCTTTTTTATTAGGCCGGGTAAAAATGAACCAATTTTGACCTATAAATTTTATTCGATAATTAACCATAAACCGACCTATTAAAGTCGAGATTATAACTTTAACCGATCCCATGTACATTTGGTAGTTGCTACTATACCTGACCAACCGGCTTTTTATGAATACATGTTTTTATAAGATTGTTTTTGAGAGAATATTATTATTAATGTAGTTAATTATATAAACAATTTCTTTATCTATTAATATTTATTGAAAATTTTAAAGCACACACTATATTAAATTAAAATAAATATTATGTTGATATTTTCATAAAACTACTAATATTGAATTGAAAAATAGAAATTTTTAAACTTTATAAAATATTAAAGAGAATTTTTCTTTTTGTTTTTTTATTTTCTAATAAAAATAGTGGTGGAGATAAAAGTTTGGACAGAGTTTCTTGATATAGCCATGCAGCAATGCATGCAGATTTGCCTTCAAACAGAAGTGCTCTCTTTGTAATAAAACAATATTGTCAGTGTGTGTGGCTAACAACAAGTTCAGTTATTTTAATTTGTCTTCATAATATACATTAAATAAATAAATAAAACAATTAATTCCACGTAGTAGTGTGTGTAGTGTGTGAAAAATGTTGACGACGATCCCATAATCACTTTGATTAGTTGCTGAAATATATTATTTTTTCTTTATGTTTTGCAGAAAATCTTGGAGGCCCTTTTAATTTCTCTAACAATATATATATATATATATATATATATATATATAGTGAAGTTAATTACAAAGAATCCATTTATGTTTAAGTATGTAATAATAAAATCTATGGACAAGTAGAATTGAATGTTGCAGAAACATACTCAAATTTACAGTTTCACCATTAACTAACATCTGCAATCATATTATACAACAAACATTAACAAATCGGCCTTCCTCGTTAATACGCAGTCGATTACAAACAAACAAAGAACTCGGTAAACGGAAGTATTGGAAAAAAATAACAACACATCAAAACCAGAGAAAACCCAATAGAGTTTCTACATTATTAGGATGATAAACAGACTTGCAAAGCCTTTGAACATATATAATAAGCTAAAGAATAGATGACATTTAAAATAAAATTAAAAAAAAAAAAAAAAAAGATCGTTCATATGCATTACTATACAAAATCGATCGAGAGAAAATGGTTACAAATTGATGGTGTTTTTATCTAACATCGGGAAAAAAATTGTCGGAGCGGAACTCTATTGAACTGTGAGGCGCTGAAGGTGATCTAAGAAGACCTCGAAGCTGACATCATCGGTGAAGATGATGTCACCTCCAGGAGCAACTGCACCGTTTGAATTGTAAGTGGCTGAAGGATTCAATTTCGCTAGCAGAAAACGGGCCTGCATATTTTTCATATAATGGTTTAATTTTTGCGTTTTTTTTTTGTAATAAAGATTCAAAATGTTTCAGTGTGAAGTAAACCGAAAGAAGTAGTGACGAGAGAAGAAATTAAAGACCTGAGAACCGTGCTGATCGCAGATTACAAGGCGGGGAACTGGGAACCTCTCTTTTATTATGGCATCCGCTTCGTCGCGTGGAGCTTTCAGCAAGTTAGCAAAGGCCTGTAACAAAAATAAAATAAAATAAATATTTGAGGAAGTAGACATTAAATAAAACCAGTTTCAAGAATCTGAGACACGTAACCGGTTATCAATCTTATTACAGAAATAAGCAATCAGTAATAGGAATAGCCACTGTCATTAATTAGCAGAATTACATGATGTTCGGGTAAATCATGATAACCAGCTTTACGCCATTGGGCAACAGTGGAACCATGAAAAACAACGACGGTGAAATACGAATCCAAAAGAAGTATTCTATCGGCGGCAATTGAAATCACATCAAGAAGAGCAGGTTCCGGTCCAGAGTGGAACGAGTAGGAGATCAAGGAAGGTTGAATCATAACAACCGAATTAGAAACGTTTTCTCTGTTCAGAATCATTCTAAAGTACGCTGTCTCGTCTGGGCTGTTATTGAAGACCTGAATAAAAAAGACAAGCAAAAATCGAATCATTCTTTGTTCGAGGAAATTAAAATGAATCTATAAGACTATAACAGAAAAATAGTCATCTATCTACCTGGACGAATTGTGAACGTCGTAAATTGAACATGAACTGAGGGAATATCGATAGTCGAGGGGATAAACTGAAAGAAGATGGGCTGTCCTTTTGGTACTCTCCGAACTGCGAACACATGTGTATCAACGATTTGTCCAGCCATCTTATGGGGTCGAATTCAGCCTGAAGAATAACATCAAGTAAACACGATAAAATATATATGATTTAAGAAGAACAAAGTAAAACAGGCAAATAAATGAATTAAACCAAGCCTTTTTCTTTTGCTTATGCAAATTGAATCTAAAAGGGAAGACGTAATAAAACTGTAAATAAGATTAAAGAAGTCTCGTAAATCACCTCAGTCTCCATTTTGAAAGAGACTTGGCGTGCCATTACTACCGCAGCTGCTTCTTGGTCAAATCCAGATATTATGTCCTGCAGAATATAACACAAGCAAGGAAATTATGTACGTATTGTGCATTGAGTAAAAACAAAAGCAACACGAAAATTCTCCATAAAAAGGAAACGAAGGTGGTTATAAGTTCGTGCTCGTTGAAAAAAAAATAATCTTAGGACATCGAAATTCATCGACAGTAACAAGAAAAGATAGAAAATGAAACACTAAAGTTTGCTTACCTCTTTAGTTCCTATCCCAGCCACCCATCGTCTCGAAAGGGTAGTGGCACGGAGTCTCATTTGTCCATTGCTATGCTGATAACTGGAGAACAATAGGTCTGAAAAGTTAGAAAAAAAAACCCTCACCGAAAGGTCAAACTAGCTCATATTATCAAAATATAAAATCGGTTTAGGTATGTACTATGTCAGAAACTGGAAATAGAACTGGTTGTTAGCTGATTGAGCAATAATATCGGGGCTCTCTTTCTTGATAACATCGAAGAATATGCACAAGGAAGTAGTGTTGTCAAGGCCACACATCTTCCATGCAGTGGTGTTTCCTTGGCCAATAACAGTTTCGGAGCACAAAGGACCTTTCTGCACAAAGCAATAAATTGTTAAAAATCAACCTTGGACATTTCATAACGTAAAGAGGTCATACCTTATCGAGCGATGCACATGGGCCGATAATTCCCTGAATTTTGATATCCTTTGAACAGCTGATTTCAAATATACCACTGGCACAAAGAGTGACAGAAACATGATTTAGTGGCAAACACAGAATGTAGCAAAATTCGGTGATTCTCTTGAAAATATTACTACAGGATGAAAACGAAAGCCTATCGAAACCTTACTTTGACGACATTCCGAGATCATGATCGCCAGAAGTAAAAACGCGTCTTAAAGAATCCTTGAAAACTGAATGGCCAAAACTTTCAGCAAGAACAACGAGCCCTCCAGTTTTTTCTACTGCTACCTTAAGCTCAGCAACTCCAACCTGGTACATATGTGTGTCAGAAAGGTGTGCCGATTATGGATTTCCATGACAACATCGTATAAGTTTATATTATATTTTTATTTGGCATATTTGAGATAACATCAAGATGTCATCATAAAAACACTCCTAGAATCATCCTTAGTAAGGTAAATCAAAAGTTGTTCAGGAAATAACTGAATACGAAAAATACACATTTTATTGTCTAACGTGTAATTAATACCTGATCAAGTGCACAAGCAAAAATATCCAGCACATGCCCCTGATGAACAAGTTGTTTCGAAATTGCTTCGTAAAACTTCACAGCTTTGTGATAGTGAGGAGCAGAATCTTTGTCCAGGTCCTTGTGAGACCGCAAAGGTTCAGACAGATTTTTAGACACAATCTGCATAAAAATGGAGTGGATTCAGTGTAATCATTTCCATAGTACATGTAAAGTTACGAGGTGAAAAAAAATCGAGCGAATATCTTTGCAACACCATATTTTGGAATCTAATTGGAGAACAGAAAGTCAACTTACAGATCCCGCCCCTTCGGTTGAGGGTCCACCTAAAAATGCCATAATTCTAGCCCCGGAACCAGGAACACATACTCCCAACAAATGAGCAGCCAAACTCAGTGCTGTACCAGTACATCTAGCAGCCCGTTGATCTGATGCCACTGGCCATGGATCTTTCTGAAGCTCCTCTAAAATCTTGTAAACAAGGGAAAGAAAGCAAAAGAAAATGTCATAAGCTGAAGATTCCATTCAACCAATCGTACTGAGAAAAATATGTTATCGTGAAACAATTTGAGCGGTAAAAATGCTTAAATTTCAATTAAAAAAAACAGTAGTGAGCATAAACGAATATTTACACGGGGTGCTATCCAATTTGACAATCAATGTTACAGATAGAAAATCATTGCAAGGCCATGATAAAAAGGAGGAATGAAACAAAGTAGTGATTGCACACCAGATGAAAAACTTCACCTATCATATAACACATTATGTAGTTCTTTTTTTGAAGTAGAAGACACATATATAGCAAGTTGGTGCTAAGGAACCATACCGAATTAAGGACGAACTCACAATCGGATGCAGGCAACAAGAACCTCGCAATGCTCTCCTGTGAAAGCCCATCCCGAACTCCCGCGATAACACCTGTAGTTGGCCTTTGCCTTTTCCCGAAGAAGCCCATCTGCTCTAACAACTGATCCTTGGTTACCTCCTTTGTACCCTTGAAAACGTGAACCTTTGGAATCTGCCCGAACCCCAATTCATGGATATGCACATATGTCCCGAATGTAATCAACCCGATTAAACAATTTTCGGGAACCATTCCTAAAACCTGCATTGCATAGGAAAAAAAGAGGACAATTTGCTATAAATTAAGATGGCCAAAACAATCCAAAAAAAAAAATTGAATCTTTACTGCTGGTTACTTAAATAATCTGTGATTTTAATCATATATAATCATCTGCACCTAACGGAAGATATATTATCAATCTCGAGAATAATGTGCCGAACCTGCAATAAGGCGGATTTTAAGAACCCTAGTTCCTCCTCGATGACACAAGTATCGACCACAAACAGAAAAACGTTACTGCTCACGGGCTGGGGGTTCTCGTTAGGGGACTGAGTATCGTACTCAATCGTCGTGTATTGGGGGAAGAGCTCCGCCGGCAAATTCTGTTCGGAAATCGACTGATAATGCGGCGGGAAGTGGTTGCGCTGGAGGCAGAAGCTGCAGATCCATATCTTGCTGGCGGAGGAGAAATCGACGATAGAAAACGGATTGATTACGGATCGGCAATTCCGGCACCGGAGCGGGGAGTAAGGGAGGAGCGGCGTGGCGGAGGGGAGGGGTTTTAGGGGGCTGTAGATGGCGGAGATCGGGATTGCGCAGTTGGCGGCGTCGGCTTTTGTTCCGGGGAGGACGTTCCATGGCATGCGGACGGAGTCTTGCGATTCGAGGTCGAGGAATTCCGCCATCTAGCGGTGGATGGTGGAGCTGCGGTGCCAACGGCGGCGGAATTGAGGGCCAAACGGCGTCGTTTGTGGTGGCCGGTTTTAGGACAGTGCTGCGTCTTTGAAGAAAATGAGAAATTAATTTCAGTAATAAGTTTTTTAATTTTATTAATTAATTTCAATTTATATAAAATTAAAATATATATCTCCTATTTTTAGTTGCGTATCCCAGATGGTTTCGGACTGGGCTGAAGAAGAGCCAGCACAACAAGGACTTATTATTATTATTATTTTCATTATTATTATTTGATTGAAATTAGCACATTATTTTAAGAAAAAAAACTATTATTTAAAGGAGTTACTAATATAATACACTGATTGTTATTATATTGTATATTTTTTAAAATTCAAATACTATTACAAATTGAAATATAGATATGGCTTATAGTTATAAAATTTATAATGTATTATTTAAGAGGAATAATTATATGCTGTATACTAGTATTTTGTATGTGGTTTTTAGAAACTATCTTTATTTTTTTTGTGGGATTTTAGCTCGTAAATTCATTTTGTCTAAATGCATGTACAAATGAGTTCACAATACTATATTTTGTACAGTGTACTCCTCCTTTAAAGTTTCGGTAATAGTTAGTTCCTCGTCTTTTTTAATGGAGTGACTCCATGATGAACGATGAAGAGCATCAAACTCAGCTCGCTAGAATTTGATGAAGTCAAAAAATGCAGAGATTCTATTCATTTTTGGAAGAGGAGAAAATGAAAGATATAATGAATATCTGTACTAGGTACTGAAAAACCAACAAATTTGAATCAGTCTCCAACAAATTTTTTTTTTTTTGTTTTTTTTGATAATTAGTCTCCAACAAATTAAAGTCTGGTTAGTCTTGATTACAATGAAAAAAAGCAGATGATAGAACATTCTAACGCTCCAATGCATAATTGTTGCATATGTCAATTTTTCAAGACAGAAGGTTAGAAAGGTTGTAGCAACGTAGACTAGCAGATATACGGTATAATACTGGAGAGATTTACTAACCAACGTTATTATATCTATAATAATGTACTATTAATAAAGTAAATTTATTTGGAATAAACAATTTCTTTTTTTTGACAAAAAATAATAAGCTAATTTAATATTCAATATATTTCAATTAAAAAAAATATAGGACTAAAAAGGAGAGGATGAGAGTACAGCTGTAAATGAGCCGATGAAAGAATGGCTTTCGCTGCTAATTTGAGCCGAACTCTTGTTCTCAGCGCCGCCAACCAAATACACACCGCCGCCTTTCCCTTCCTCCTCCGCCGCTCTCCGCTCATCCGCCATACCCGCCTCCACTCCTCATCTCGTAATGTGGTCGAAATCCTCGAAGAGAGAGGCCTTCTCGAGTCCCTCACCGGCGACGCCCTCCGCCGCCCAAACCACCCTCCCCTCCGAGTCTACTGCGGATTCGACCCCACCGCCGAGAGCCTCCACCTCGGCAACCTCTTAGCCCTAATCGTCCTCTCCTGGTTCCTCCGCTGCGGCCACAACGTCGTCGCCCTAATCGGCGGCGCCACCGCTCGCGTCGGAGATCCCTCCGGCAAGAGCCTCGAGCGCCCCGAGCTCGACCCGATCTCACTCGAGAGGAACATCTCCGCAATTTCCGCCACCGTCACCGCCATTTTAGGTCGCAACAACCCCTCAATTTCACCACCGTCGTCTACATCTCCGATCGCAATTCTGAACAATTACGACTGGTGGAAAGACGTGAAGCTGCTCGATTTCCTGAGCGAGGTCGGCCGATTCGCCCGAGTCGGCACGATGATGTCGAAAGACAGCGTACGGAAGCGGCTCGAATCGGATTCAGGCATGAGCTACACCGAGTTCACGTACCAATTACTCCAAGGCCACGATTTCCTCCGCCTCTTCCGCGATCAAGGCGTCAACGTTCAGATCGGCGGCAGCGACCAGTGGGGGAACATCACCGCCGGCACAGATCTCATCCGCAAAATCCTCCAAACCGAAGGAGCGTACGGACTCACATTCCCCCTCCTCCTCAAAAGCGACGGCACCAAATTCGGAAAATCCGAAGACGGTGCAATTTGGCTCTCCCCTTCGTTACTTTCCCCCTACCAGTTCTACCAGTACTTCTTCTCGATTTCCGATACAGACGTTGTCCGGTTCCTCAAAATCTTAACCTTCCTCAGCATCGACGAAATTTCGCAAATCGAGACCGAAATGCGTGGCCCAAATTACGTACCGAATTCCGCCCAGAGAAAGCTCGCAGAGGAGGTGACGCGTTTTGTCCATGGCGAAGAAGGATTGGAGGAAGCTATGAAGGCCACTATGGCATTGAGGCCTGGTTCGGAAACGAAATTGGATTGGAATAGTATCGAGAGTATAGCGGAGGATGTGCCTTCGGTTTCTTTGGGGAAGGATCAGGTTTTGAATCTATCGCTTTTGGATCTCTCCGTTTGTAGCGGCTTGCTCGATAGTAAATCGGCTGCGAGGCGAATGCTAAAGCAAGGCGGGCTTTATTTGAATAATAACAGAGTTGATAGCGAGGGTAGGAGAATCGAAATTGACGATATTGTGGATGGGAAAGTTATTCTTTTATCAGCCGGGAAGAAGAACAAGATGATTGTGAGGATATCTTGATTAGCTTCTTATGAGTTTTGAATTTTTTTAAAGGTACGATATACTTTCTATCATCGGAATCTGTGTTAGATTTTTTTATGGTGAAGAGATAATTCGGCTTGCCAGTGGAAAACGCAGTTCTTTCATCACATAATCTTACGTTTCCCGTCATGAAAAAAATTGCCTATACTTGGGTTTTTGGTGTCGATTGCCCTGAGAATGTTCTAGAAAGCTAACTTCATAACGACTATCCCCATGCGTATACTTGGCTTACGGTAGATCGTTTTAGTCATTTTGGTAGTTTAGGATTTTGAGATGCATCTTGATAATTTTTTTAGTTCCATCCGAATCTTCTTATGTATTTCTCGACCCCGTAAAGTCAAAAGCGCTCGTTTAGTTGGTATACATTTCCGATTAAGTTCACTAATAATGGAAGAATCTTGAACTTTCTTTTGGCCAAACGTGCTTGTTCTTAACAAATATAACGCAGAAATTATATCCGTAGTTAGTTAATTTGGTAGTCGGTATTTCTCTCCTACAATGGTAAGACCTAGTTGACGAATAATGTTTCATTTGGACTGACTGCAAAATTGCTCCATCGAAGCCGTGTTCTAGAATCTTCGACCTAGAAGTATGTTGCGGTTTTTTTTAGTACGCCTAAGATTAAACAAACTTATGTGTTCGTGGTGCAGATCTATCGTAGGTGATTTTGACAAAAAACCCGAACTTCTTAAGCTGTCGTGGATTAATTTTTATGTTGTTCACTATATTGATTGAATTAGTGACATGTCTTTTGATGATAACTTAGTGATGTGGAAAAAAATAATTATACTATGGTAGTTACATGTTGTTACTCTAATATTGACTAGTCGATAAATTCGAGTGATTCGTTTAAAACTCATTTGATCTCCATATGTTAGCGTTAAGGAACCAGTTTAGAACACATATTTTCGTTCGCCAAAAATGGTTGAGCCATTTCCTTCAAGTATTTTCCATTTCATTTTTTTAAGCCCTTTTGCAGCTTGTGTTTTGATATACTCCCTTCATTCTTAAATAATTGTCGTTTTTTCAGCTTTGCACAAATATTAAGAATCTCAATAAACGTGCGTTGATTTTAGGGAAAACACATAAAAATAACATTGATCGTTTAACGATGTGATAAGAGTGAGTTAATACTTAGAAGTGAATAAATATGGATAAAACAGAAAAATATGTATTTAATGCAGTATTGAAACTCTAATTAATACTCATTATTGTCTTGATGAAGATGCCATTGTTTGCGGAATATCTCAACCATGCATTAAATAGTACAAGAGAATAGACTAAGACTACGTTTGTTTGCCTAGACAAGATTAATCAAAAAATAAGATTAAATAAGATACTAATGAAATTCAATTGATTATTCGTTCTTGGAAGATTCAATAAAAACATGCCTAGAAGGTAAGATAAACTATGAGAACATAATATCCGCGGATCGACCCGACAAGCTATTGGAAATATCATATATCAAATATTAAACAAAGTCCAATTATTTAATTCATAAATGGCCAATCTCCACAACCAAACGAGGCCTTAAGAAACATCAACTGCGAAACCGAAAGAAGTGCGGTTATTGGGGAGGAAGAGTTGATTCATCAAAATCACCAATCAAAAGTCCCTTCATCTTATCTTTTGCATCTTTGCTATGCCCAACATCTTCAAAATCACCTGTTGCATCCTTTCCTGCATAAATATAATATAACTAACTTTTCTTATGATTAACTTAACTGAAATACTATTTATAGTGCGTGTTTTACTGGCTTACAGTGCGACTGTACTTCATTTGTAACATTTATTCAAAAAGACCAAAATCATTGCAAACCCTCTTCGAACTCTCGTTAATTAAACGAGCAATTTCGACAACAATTTGAGATAAAAAAAAAAAATTTAACTTGTTTGCGTAATTTTAACGTTTTATTGTTGTTTAGTTAATATACCTGTGGACTCCAACAAGGTTTCATCACCACCGGGATGATCCGCTAGAAATGCGGTCACATCGTACACCTATGAATTAATATACACATTGATTCACAAATTATGATTCAAAAAATTTCAAATCGTAATCAGCATTGTTCGGAAGCTAATCGAGATTCTGAACAAGATCGCAACTTTGTCCTCATCAAACAAAAAATAAATAAAAACAATAGTTGTAATTCCGACGAATCTGACCTTGCCGGAGATGATAAGCCAGCAGTCGTGGTTGTTGTTGTGCTTGACTACTTCCTCAAAGGTGTAAACTTTTTCTGCCATTTTTCTTCAGAGAGTATGTTTCCTTTTCTTTCTCCCAACAAGATGCATCAACAGAGATCGTGATCTACTGCCTTTAATAATAATAATAATAATAATAATAATAATAATAATAATAATAATAAATAAAAACAAAAAAACGAAATTGAAACAAGAAACTGGGTGGACGCGTGGGAGAGCGCGTGTGTTGTTTCTAGTTAAGATTTAGTTTCTGTGGGATCAGCCCACAAATAAATATCTTAGTTCTCATTTGAATAAGTGATTAGGGAACATTTTGCATGATTTTCACTTATCAATTCTTCGAGTTTTGGTCTTTGTTCGTTCGATTTTTTGGTTTTATTTGTATATATAATGTTGTTTTTGTTTTATTTATATTTTAGGTAAAGAGAAGCTATTTTTTCCGATTCGAAACGATTTTGGAAGCGAAGCCGAAAATCAAACCAAACACGTGCAAAAGTGCATTATCGCGGGTTGTGGCACTGTTTCGTATTTCAACCATAACTTTTCTCATACGACCCCCGATTAAGCTGATTCAAGTGGCCATGGAAAGCTAACTTCAAGTTCTACAACTTTTGTGAAATGCAAAATTGTCATATTCGGGCTAAAACAGTGTCAAAACCGTGTTTGAAGTTGGCGCAGAAGCACCCATCGCGATCCAGCCTTCTTGTATCGCGATCTGGGGGTCTCACAGTACATTTTTTGATCAAGAACCAGATCGCGATCCACCATTCCCTTATCGCGATCTGGAAAGGCGGTGCGCAGTTTCCAAGGCTGCCAGATCGCGATCCAAGAAGCCCAGATCGCGATCTGGGCACATAATTCGAGACGAGATATTTTTCTTTGATTTATTTCCATAAATAGAAGGTCTTTTCTTCATTTTTTAAGATTTCGACCATAAAATGACCTATCTCAAGACTTCTTCTTCGATTTTTCTTCGGTTTTCGCCAGTTCTTCGCGGGAAGCTTCGATGAGGGTTTCGACTCGGGTTTTTCATAATCTTTTCTTTAACTTTAGTTTATGATTTCTCGTGTTCTTCATTTTGATGCTATGTTTGTAATGAACTGAGCATTTTCTTTTAGTGTAATGAAACCTTGTATATATTGATTTTGATTTCCAGATCTGTGATCTATTTGTCGTTCTTTGATTATGTTTATGTTTTCCTGTATTAAATGCTTTCGATTGTTTGGCCAACAGTTGAATTGATTGTAAATGAGAATGAACTCGAGAGAGGATTTCTCGTTTGATTTTTGGAAACATAGCTCGGGTTGTGGAAATGGAGACGTGATGCACCTCGGGTAGCCCTTAAGGACTTGACCTAAATGCTCTCTTAATATCAGGTTCTGAACGGAGACGTCGGACCTGTGGGTAGACTCTAGCTACACTGGAGACGGGGGTTAGGGTATTTTAGTGTCTGGGTTAGCGAACATAGAATTGACATTAAATTCGGATCTGTAGATGTTTATCGATAGTACATTGGTGGATTTTACCCATCACACGTCGTAATTCCTCGCTTGTCCTGGCGGACCGTTGTTTTTATTATTGTTTCTTTTCTTTTTAGCTTCATCCCCCATTCTTTCGTATGTCTAGATAAAGTTTATGATAGTATAATTACGGTACTTGGTAAATTTAGGAACTTAATTCCCTGTGGATCGATATCTGGAATTCACTATTCTACAAAACGCGATACTGTACACTTGCGGTTTTTCATACGTAGGTTTTACGCGTATCAAGTTTTTGGCGCTGTTGCCGGGGAATTAGTTAATCTTGAATTTACTAATATCGTTACCAACTATCCTTCCTTTACTTTAGACATTCGTTTTTCTTTTATTTTTTTTTGTTTTGATTTTTTCATTTGTTTTAGCATATTTGTATACATTGATGGTTTCGATTTATGATATATCTCTTTACAAGATTCAATCCAGAGCTGATGACATTCAACATGAGTTGGAGGATATTGAAAGACATTTTAAGTTGAACCCAAAAAATGGAATTGCACAAACAAATGAGCACTTGTGCTATTTACAAGACGAACTTCACTTTCTGGCAAATATTTTCGAAATTTTTCAAAGATGTCACATTTACAAACCACATCCGACCATCATATATGAAGACAACGAGGTATTTAAAGGTTTTCGTATGAACGATGAGGTTGAGCACCTTGAGGGAATTATTCATCCCAGTTTTGTAGATACTTTTGCGTGTGGTGAGAGTGGGATGAAGATGATGGTAGAGGAACTTGACGAACAAAATCCTATCCACATTGCTACTCCGGATTTGAGTATGAGCGAGGAGACGAGTTTCAAATTTGAGGTAGAGCATACTCCAAAGCTCGAATATCTTGTATACGAGTTTGAGAGATCGGTAGGCAAGCAACCCATCCTAGTCTCCTACCGACTGATTTCCAAAGCAAACAAGAAGTACCATGGGTTGGGATGGTCGTTACAAGATTGCAATCTTGTCCATGATATGATTGCAAGGTATGTATCAAGACTGATGGATGGATGCGCAATCTACAAGGCTTTGGATTGTAATCCGTCCAAATTATGTCGAGCCGTCGACAGTAAAACAGGCGCTGAATGAGAGGCAAACCATTATTTATTTCTCGTCATTTATTTTCTTTATTTTTGTCGTTTTTGGATTTTTTTTTTATTTTAAAGCTAAATTTCATCTGCTTTCTTGATTTTTGCCGGTATCTCGTCCCCAAGGAAAGAAGAGTAAGAAGTCGGGAGTCTAGACAACTCCAGCAATTCACCCTCGGTGCCAAAATTCACGGCACCCCGTGCAATCAAAGAACACTTTCGCAACCGTAGAACATTGATCAATCTGCGGCACGACTGCTCATGGCGTATTTCTTTCTCATACCTTTTATTTTTCGCATTGAGGGCCATGCATGATTTAAGTTTGGAGGTGAGTTTAGCTTATTTTTATTTTTGGTCTTTTGCATGCATATCATATAATTTAGTTTCATTTATGTATTTCGATTTCCGTATTGGTGTTATGTTTTTCACATGCATTTCATATAGAATCGAGTGTAAGTTGCATTTCCGGATTCTATTGAAGCAAAGCAATTAATGAATTAGTAGACTGGCTAGTTGA